CACAAGAATGAATAAATTATGTATTAAGTCATTAGTTTATGTAGAAAAACTATTACTTCGAACAGCACAAATATGTACAAAATTATCAGGATATGCAAAATTCTTTCCCAGGTAAGTTAATGGCGTTTCCAGTGGGACTGTAATACCATGGGATATAAATCGATATTTCGCGTTTTCTACGAGATCATGAGAAAGTGAATCCAGCGCTTGGCTGAGCGTCCGTGGTTCTCCATTGCTATCAAATGGTGGTTGTAAAATCTAAACGCAACCTTGCAAGTAAAAATATATCATCAGGAGTAAGAGAATTACCTGTCGAAAAGGTTGTTCAGTTATGTACAATCGTATAGGAATATCACAGAATGGCCGTTCTTCTGAAGTTTCCATAAGTCGCCGGTTTACACTCCAAAAATCATCAAACCGATCTTCAATATCAGTGGGTGAGGGGTGAAATAGGAATGGAAATAAGGAGGTACTCACCATGAACAAGACTTGACCACAGTTGTTTATGTTCATCGGCCTTCATAGAACTTACAATCTGAAGAAAGTTTCATAACTGTAAGATTTTGGAGAAACATCGTAAGAATCAAAATTCGCGGTATTCATATTTTCATTCATTCACTTATTGCATAGGGGTTACCCTATGTTAACTGCGGATAACAGCGTTTGGTTAAAACAACCTCGTCAAATTTCTTTTAGTTTTCCAAATTTCTGAACATGTTTTGTCCAAAATGTATTTACCCGAGTAAAAAACAAATCAAAATAAATGAAACGAATGAGAACAAAAATTTACTCAAACTATTCATACAAAAAAGATCAATTCCACTCGCGGTTTCCAAGTCACACTGTGATAACTACGGCAACAAATGGGAGACGCATGAATGGAAGGAGTAGTATTTTCAGACACTTACGAACTCTACACTGCAAAGCGCGCAGCTTCATCCCCGTATCATCGAAAAATCGGCAGGTAAGTTATCAGATTACAGACAAAGAAATGATTCTGTTTTTATTTGAAAATTAATGGAAACTTGCCTCATCCCTCCGTCGTTTTAAGTAGTTCGCTTCTTTCAATGATTGCATAAACATAGATTCCATAGCATCCTTAGACACCGATAAAACACCATCGGGACGTGGACCAGTTCTAAAATGGAAAATCAAAGCCACTAGGATAAAGAAAACTCCTACTCACTTAATAACAATTGTCATGGTAGGTGAATCAATAGGTTTGTACAAATCAAAAAGGACTCCTATGGGATAATATATTTTCAGCGGTGTGCCGTTGCATTCAAGCCATACTTTGTCTGCATCCAGCTTCAAACTTTCATCACGAGCTTTCACTTGTTCCAGGATC